AAAAATTAAATTAAATTAAATTAAAAAAAAAGACAGCACCTTGGCTCTGACCAGGTAGGCCAACTCTCAACAAGTAGAAACAGAGATTGAGAGGGAGACTTATGGCTTACTGCAATGCATTCAGAAAGTTCTCCTACTTACTGGATTTCTTTTTATGCAAACTTAGTCCTTACCTTGGAATTCAACATAATTTCTGGAGCCCTGTACCAACGTGTAGCCACATATTCTGTCAGGAACCCTGTGTGATCATGGTCTGGATCTGCAACACGGGCCAGGCCAAAGTCACAGATCTAAGAGAGAAAAAAACAGGATAACTTCTTAGAAATTCTAACCTTTCACATCAAAACATCACAAAAATAAAAAAGGCAATAGCAATCATAATGATACTAACTAGTTGTTCCCATTACTATGTTGCAGATACTTTCTGGGCATTCTAGAAATTCATTAATTAATTTTCCCAACAACCTGAAAAGCAATCAACATGTTAGAGACCAGGACGCAGGCTGAAGAAGTCTTTATAGGACACACTTTGAGAAGCATCCCTACCTTTCATTATCTGCTTAGCACAAAGCAATATCAATTAGGTGAATTGACAAAAACTGTTCTGGGTAAAGTCACCAAAAACAGCCAGTACCCTTTTCTCAGCCTGTCCTGCTGGAGCTCTGACGACTGCTGTGAAGATCTGCACTGACCTTCTATTTCTCAGACTCTACTTTCTGTGAGTCTTCTACTTAGTCTATAAATATAAGTATTTCCAAAGAATCATCCCACTTCCTTCTCCTTCCAGGTAGTCAAACCTACTCCCAAAGCTTTTTTTTTTTTTTTTTTTTTTTTAAAGTTTCATATACTGAAGAATATTTTATTTTAAAATATTCATAGTTTCTCATTTTCTCCGGTCTCAACCATCTACTGGCCTTTCATCATCTGGCCCTCCAATACCATGGTGTGGCTTATTTTCTATTTTTGGTAGAGATGGTGTTTCACCATGTTGGCCAGGCTGGTCTCGAACTCCTCCCCTCAGGTGCTTCAATCACCTCAGCCTCCCAAAGTGTTGGGATTACAGGTGTGAGCCACCAGGCCTGGCCATGATTTTTTTTTAAGGTCTG